CCACCTGGACACAAATGATGTTCCTGTCTAACCTTGGTGGCCCCTGTCCTTTCAGCAGACCAGTGAAAGAACCTGCAGAGACCAACTTTACTGGGTCCAACTCTCATCTGTTTCTCTAAACCTCCTTGACAGATAAATAAGGCCATGACCTTTAGCCTGTAGTGTTAAAGGAAGTAGTGAAGGCTAAGTGACTGCATTGCCAGTATGCAGAACTTCCTGTGCAAGAATTAGCTAGAGGTCTAGCTAAGTGGGTCTTGGATGTAGACTGTTGCCAACTCTTTGGTAGAAGAGCAGAGTTAAAATAGGCAGAGGAATGATGGCACTAAGCAGGCTGAGCTACTGACTTCCAGAGTGACAGAGACACCCCTTTTAGTACTTTGCTCCCCATTTCTCTGGGCCAGTAATCCAAGGTGTAGAATTCCAACAGCCCACATCCCGAGCACTGTTCTGCAGATTGGAAGGAGGGAGGTGTGACGCAATCTCCTACTCTGCAAATCCAAACCTCTTTAACATGCGAACACTCTGGGAAGATTAACAGTCTGGAAAATTACTAATTTCCTTAGTGTTTTTCAAATTCTGGATCTTATTTAGGGACTTCTACCTTCTGGAGATGTAAGAAATAAGAAGTATTAAAAATGTAGAAACGAGAGACTTACTTGTTTCCCTTTGCTACAGTTTAACAAAGATATTGCCCAGAAATTCTCAAGCATTTAGCTAGTATAAACTTTAAGGGGAAGGATTTCACCTGCTAACATGGTTGCTACAAGCTTATACCCACCTATTTACTTGTTCTACATTGACTTTAACCAATCAGCATTCCTTGGTCCTAGGGATCATGTTGGTACTTACAGCAAGAATGACCCTACAGGGTCACTTACTGGCAGAAAGAACCCCTTTCCCCAAGTTCTGGACTATTGCAGGAGCAACTGGAGAGTTAGGTAAGAAACTTTTTCTCTTTTCTTTAGATTCAGATTACGTGGGCGGCCTTTCATCCAATGTATGGTGAAGGGAGATCAAGTTGAATGGAGTCAACTTCCAACTTGTGAAGGTCAGGCTATTTTTATGGCTTTAAGAAGAACTCCTGATTGGAGCTGTTGCAGAGTAACTGTTACAGACAGGACCGGCTCTAGGCACCAGCAAACCAAGCACGTACTTGGGGGGGCAGAATTCAAGGGGCAGCATTCCGGGTGTTTTTCTATTTCTTTTGCTTTGACAGTTGCGCTCTCGGTTTTGGTTTTGGTTTTCTGTTTTTGGTTTTGGTTTTTTTTATTTTATTTTATTTTTTTTGCTTGGGGAGGCAAAAAACCTAGAGCCGGCCCTGGTTACAAAGCTTTCATGTGTGTTTTATATTCACTCGATTTAGATTATGTCGATCATATAGATATTTTTGGGAACGGGGAGACATGATGAAAGTGTAGGAAGATCCATTGTGTTGCTGGTTCCTTCTGTAGAAGCCACATTCCAAACAAACACAAAACCCCACAGGCCTCTCTATCCCTACAGAGCATTCCCCTTGAGCTTGCTGTCTGGTGTATAGATTCCAACCCAACTAATGACCTAAACACAAGTGAACCCTGAACACGGGGATGGTGGTGTTCGATTAGTTTCTCATTCCTCACCAAATAATCTCTGCTGCTTTTGAACTCTTTCATCCAACTTTTTTTTATTTAGTGTAATTCCTCCCTGTTAACTATTCTCCTCCCTTCCCCTCAAAACCAATCAACCAATCCTGGACTCCACACTCAAAATCTTGAGGCTATTTTGGAGTGAAACCCAATATTAAAACTTCTTCCCAATTTATTTGCTTTAACTTTTTTGTCCTTTTGGACACTACGTGGGTGGATCTGTCAACCAGGCTATCGCCATCTGGTCTAGAACCAGCTGCAGTTAAAAGGAAAGTTCTAATTTAAGTGTTCAGCTTCTGGAACATTGTAGAAGGGCATCTATTGTCTTTCAAGGATGTGAATCAAAGAGTCACAGCTCCTTGTATATAATGTAGGGGAGAGATGTGTTCTGATAAGGCTGTTATCCGAGATTTGTTTAATGGAGCCAAAATATTCTAGCTGAATGGATGTTGGGAGTGGAGAAAAGAGGCCTCCATTCACTGTACAACTAAAGATAACATCAATGGAGTCTGGAATGGGTCTGCCCCTGAATGCAAAGGTGACTGACTCTTTTTATCTTCCTCTTGTTCTACTTTCTCCCACCAGAAAAAAACAATATTTTGATTTCTAGGCAAACCCATAAACATGAGGAAATTCAGTTAGGCATTAATCATCTAAAGATATAACTTGTGGGAAACCTGGTTGCTGTTGGAAACGTAATCCTTAAAAAATGGCTGTTGCTTCACGTACACTCAAGGAGGAAAAATTAAGATCTCACGGGTCACCTTAATTCTGTGGTTTCCTAACTGCTGAGCGCTTTACAATTGTAATAACTTGTTTCTGCTGTGGGTTTTACATAACTTCTGGGTTTCTTAACAAGAAAAATGAAGTCTATATGAAACTAATGTCCCATCCTCCACCTCCATGTGTCATTGAGGTTTGACTCTTGGGCCTAAGGTACTGTAGCATAGACCTCTATTAAGTTAAAGAACTAATTACAATAATTGGCTGCAGGAGTAAATTGTTATCCGGACCAACCACTAGAGGAGGATGCACAACACACTAAAACAATGGATTATATATGCACGAATAGCCTCATTATATGCACCGCGTAGCCAAGTATTTAGATTTGGCAAATTCTTTCGGTTAGGCTAAGTGGATGAGACTTGGGTC